TAATTTATTTTATGTTCTTTTTTAACTTTTATTTTAGGTTTGTGGGTACATGTGAAAGTTTGTTACATAGGTAAACTCATGTCATGGGGTTTGTTGTACAGATTGTTTCATCACTCAGGTAGTAAGCCTGAGTGATGCTTATCTTTTCTGCCCTTCTTCCTCCTCCCAGATTCCATCCTCAAGTAGATTCCAGTGACTGTTTCCTTGTGTTCATAAGTTCTCATCATTTAAATCCCACTTACAAGTGGGAACATGTGGTAGTTTTCTGTTTCTACATTAGTTTGCCAGGGATAATGGCCTCCAGCTCCATCTATGCTCCTGAAAAAGACATGATATTGTTCATTTTTATGGCTACAAAACATTCTAGTTTTTTTAACTGAAATATCATTATGGCTGGATGCAGTGGCTTACGCCTATAATCCCAGCACTTTATGAGGCCAAGGCAGGCAGATCACTTGAGATCAGGAGTTTCAGACTAGCCTGGCCAACATGGTGAAACCTGGTCTCTACTAAAATACAAAGTTAGAGAGAAACACCAACTGTACTAAAAATACAAAAAAATCTCAGCACTTTGGGAGGCTCACACCTGTAATTCCACCACTTTGGATGGCAGATGCCTGTAATCCCAGCTACTCAGGAGGCTGAGGCTGAATAATCACCTGAACCTGGGAGGCAGAGGTTACAGTGAGCTGAGATTACACCAGTACACTCCAGCCTGGGCAACAGAGTGAGACTTCGTCTCAAAACAAACAAACAGATACAAGAAACCCCAAAAAACTGTTCTTATAAGAAAATCAGAGACTAACTGCCTTTCATCCTCAGAAGAAAGTTTGTCCTAGAATGGAAACAGAATACAGGTCACAGAGTTAAAGGGCTCACCAAAATAACCTCAGATGAACAGGCAAACAGGAAAATTAAGTTTGTTTGTTTGTTTGTTTTTAAGACGAAGTTTCGCTCTTGTTGCCCAGGCTGGAGTGCAATGGCGCATTCTCGGCTCACCGCAACCTCTGCCTCCTGGGTTCAAGCAATTCTCCTGTCTCAGCCTCCCAAGTAGCTGGGATTACAGGCATGGGCCACCACGTCCGGCTAATTTTTTTTTTGTATTTTTAGTAGAGACGGGGTTTCACCATTTTTGGCCAAGATGGTCTTGATCTCTTGACCTCGTGATCCACCCTCCTCAGCCTCCCAAAGTGCTGGGATTACAGGCGTGAGCCACCGTGTCCGGCCTTTTTTTTTTTTTTTTTTTTTTAACTAAAGTGCTTATTTTAAAATTGCCATTCTTGAGGAGACTTTGGATGCTTCTAGATCTTCCTGCCAAATCTTCAATTCTGTACAACAAATTCCTTCCTGATGTCCCTTTGAAGGAACTTATCTGAGGATAAGATCAGTCTGGGTCATCTGGTGGTGTCTTCTGTCACAGAAACAGAAAGAAAGATGCCATCCCAGGGCTAAAAGAATTTAACTTTCATTTTATAAAAATGAAAGTTCAAGTTTCAAGTGCAACACTGACATCTAGTGGAAGAAATATTTCAGTAATTTACCAACTAAACTAAACATTTTTGTTTTTGTCAGTTAGGGGAAAAAAAAGATGTGGGCCCGGTGCTCACATCTGTAATCTCAGCACTTTGGGAGGCCGAGGTGGGCAGATCACGAAGTCAGGGGTTCAAGACCAGCCTGGCCAATATGGCAAAATCCTGTCTCCACTAAAAATTAGCCAGGCATGATGGTGGGTCCTGTAATCCCAGCTACTCAGGAGGCTGAGGCAGGAGAGTCGCTTGAAACTGCAAGGCAGAGGTTACAGTGAGCCAAGATCATGCCACTGCACTCCAGCCTGGGAGCAAAAATCTGTCTCAAAAAAAATTTTTTTTTAATTTGTCAACCAGGCACGGTGGCTCATGCCTATAATCCCAGCACTTTGGGAGGCCAGGGCAGGCAGATCACTTGAGGTCAGGAGTTCAAGATCAGCCTGGCCAACATGGTGAAACTCTGTATCTACTAAAAATACAAAAATTAACTGGGTGTGGTGGTGGGTAGCTGTAATCCCAGCTACTGGGCAGGCAGGAGAATCATTTGAACCCTGGAGGCAGAGGTTGCAGTGAGCTCAGATCACACCACTGTACTCCAGGCTGGATGACAGAGCAAGAGTCTGTCTCAAAAAACAAAACAAAACAAAACCTACTTTTGTCTTTTAATAAGTGTTTTCTAAATACAGGTCAGTGCCATTGATAGGAAAGGTTTCCAACACTTATATTTAAAATATATTCTGGGTGACTTGTGTGAGCAGGACCCTGGGACCCATGACCGGTTGTTCAGCAGGATATCAGGTAATCTCTGGCATTCACAGAACTCATTTGGACAAGTGAAAAAGGCCTGTTCCTACTCACAGTTTTTCCCTCCATTAGAGCTCTCATGAAGTGTTTTGACAGTAGCCATACAGACTATGGGTGGGGCTCTGATCATACCATTTAAAGATGCTTGGAGATAATAGTGACATAATATCTCTTAAACCCCAAGGTAGAGTCCAGAAAATAAGAGGAGATTAAGGTAATATTTTTAGGCCAGCCACAGTGGCTCATGCCTGTAATCCCACTATTTAGGGAGGCTAAGGTAGGTGGATCACTTGAGGTCAGGTGTTTGAGACTAGCCTGGCCAACATGATGAAACCTCATGTCTAGTAAAATATGAAAATTAGCCGGGTATGGTGATGCATGCCTGCAATCCTAGCTAATTGAGAGGCTGAGGCAAGAGGATTGCTTGAGCCTAGGAGGCAGAGGTTGTAGTGAGCCAAGAGCACACCACTGTACCCCAGCCTGGGAGACAGGAGAAAAACCCTGTCTCAAAAAAAAAAAAAAAAAAATTAAGATTTTTAGATATGTATGCAGGCCGGGCATGGTGGCTCAAGCCTGTAATCCCACCACTTTGGGAGGCCAAGGCGGGTGGATCAAGAGGTCAAGAGATCAAGACCATCCTGGTCAACATGGTGAAACCCCATCTCTACTAAAAATACAAAACTTAGCTGGGCATGGTGGTGCAAGCCTATAGTCCCAGCTACTCGGGAGGCTGAGGCAGGAGAATTGCTTGAACCCAGGAGGCAGAGGTTGCGGTGAGCTGAGATTGCGCCATTGCACTCCAGCCTGGGCAACAAGAGTGAAACTCTGTCTAAAAAAAAAAAAAAAAAAGATGTATACAAGAAAGCTAGATGCAGTGGCACACACCCGTAATTCTAGCACTTTGGGAGGCCAGGATGGGAGGATTGTTTGAGTTTAGGAGTTTGAGACCATCCTGGGCAACATAGTGAGACCTCATCTCTGGTTAAAAAAAAAAAAAAAAAAGAGTTAGCTGAGCATGGTGCTACTTATGAGGCTGAGATGGGAGGGCTGCTTGAGCCCAGGAGTTAGAGGCTGCAGTGAACTATGATCCTACCACTGCACTTTACCCTTGGTGACAGAGCAAGACCTTGCCTCAAAAAATATATTACATATGCGGCCGGGCACTGTGGCTCATGCCTGTAATCCAGCACTTTGGGAGGCCGAGGCAGGCAGATCACGAGGTCAAGAGATTGAGACCATCCTGGCCAACATGGTGAAACCCCATCTCTACTAAAAATATTAAAAAAGTCCGGGTGTGGTGGCTCACACCTGTAATCCAAGCACTTTGGAGGCCAAGGCGGGTGGATCACGAGGTCAAGAGATCGAGACCATCCCGGTCAACATGGTGAAACCCCATCTCTACTAAAAATACTAAAAATTAGCTGGGTATGGTGGCGCGTGCCTGTAATCCCAGCTACTCAGGAGGTTGAGGCAGGAGAATTGCCTGAACCCAGGAGGCGGAGGTTGCGGTGAGCCGAGATCGCGCCATTGCACTCCAGCCTGGGTAACAAGAACGAGACTCCGTCTCAAAAAAAAAAAAAAGAAAAAAATGGCTGGGCGCGGTGGCTCAAGCCTGTAATTCCAGCACTTTGGGAGGCCGAGGCGGGTGGATCACAAGGTCAAGAGATCGAGACCATCCTGGTCAATATGGTGAAACTAAAAATACAAAAATTAGCTGGGCATGGTGGCGAGTGCCTGTAATCCCAGCTACTCAGGAGGTTGAGGCAGGAGAATTGCCTGAACCCAGGAGGCGGAGGTTGCGGTGAGCCGAGATCGTGCCATTGCACTCCAGCCTGGGTAACAAGGGTGAAACTCCGTCTCAAAAAAAAAAAAAAAAAAACTACAAAAAAAAATTAGCCGGGAATGGTGGTATGTGCCTGTAGTCCCAGCTACTTGGGAGGCTGAGGCAGGAGAATTGCTTGAAACAGGAAAATGGTGGTTACAGTGAGCTGGGATTGAGCCACTGCACTCCAGCCTGGTGATAGAGGGAGACTCTGTCTGAAAAACAAACAAACACATACACTATATATATATATATATATATATATATATATATATATATGCAAGAAAAAGAGGCATTTAATATACTAACCTAGATCAAATAAAACGAACATACTGAATACATATAGCCACTGAATAAGTTTTGAATTGTTCTTGGTTCTCTTTCAAGTTTAGTCTTGCTAAGAAGTCCTAGCAAATTGCCCTGCTGTTCTCTGGAAGACATGACTGGTTCTAATGTTAAAAGAAGCCTGATGGCTAGGAAAATCTCTCACTTGTTCAATGTCTTCTATGAGCAAGGTATTGTGCTAAAATTTTACATGCGTTAATTCATACTGAGTTTCAGACATACAATCCTGATGTGTAGAAATTATTATATCTGGCTAGGCATGGTGGCTCAAGCCTATAATCCCAGCACTTTGGGAGGCCAAGGCAGGTGGATCATTTGAGGTCAGGAGTTCGAGACCAGCCTGGCCAACATGGTGAAATCCTGTCTCCACTGAAAATACAAAAATTAGCCGGGCGCGGTGGTGGGCGCCTGTAATCCCAGCTACTCAGGAGGAGAACTGTTTGAACCCAGGAGGGGGAGGTTGCAGTGAGCAGGTTGCATCTATTTTGATAGATAAAAAAGGTGTGCTTGCTTCGGCAGCACATATAGTAAAATTGGAACGACACAGAGAAGATTAGCATGGCCCCTGTGCAAGGATGATGTGTAAATTCGAGAAGCGTTCCATATTTTTAAAAAATTAAAAGAAAGAGAGAAAAAAAATAAGGTTCCAAACAAGTTTAATAACTTATCAACATCAAATGGTTAAGTAGCAGAGTCAGAGCAGATCACAATTACTTCTTTTCTTTCCTTTTTTTTTTTTTTTTTTTTTGAGATGGAGTCTCACTCTGTTGCCCAAGCTGGAGTGCAGTGGTGTGATCTCAGCTCACTGCAACCCCTGCCTTCAGGGTTCAGGTGATTCTTCTGCCTCAGCCTCCAGAGTAGCTGGAATTATAGGCACCATCTCTGCAGTCTGCACCCTCAGGGACCCTGGAAGTCTTCCCTACCCCATCCCAGCAGGTTCAGAGGTGTCTTCTCCCACTGCCTGGCCTCTCTCCTCTCCCAGGATGGCTCCAATCTTGGAGCAGGGGTTCAGGATGAGCAGGGGTGCTATCACAGATCAGCCAGGTGTGTGCAAGCTTGGGGCAGTGCTGACACGCCAGGCCTCTGCTGTCTCTGCCCCCTCTGGAATTTGGGCACCCATGAGCATAAGAGGGGAAGCCAAGAGGGGCTGAGGGTGGAAGCCAAGTGAGGACAGAGAACAGCTTGACACTGTCCTGCAGGAACCCCTTGGTGCAAACAGCCTGGCTGCCAAGGATGCTGGTGGTGCAGTGGAAGGCAGGGAGACAGGCTCCTGGACAAAGGAGGCAGATCCCCGTAAGATCCCACCTTCAGGGCGGGGATCTTCAAGACCACACTGGGAAACATGGCGAAACCCCTGAAGGCTGGGGGTCAGGTGCCAGTTCCTGTGGATCTGAGTAGGCACTCATGGTGCCTTGTCGGGCCAGCCCATGGCCAACGATGGACCAATCAGCATGCATTTCCTCCTCTCTGAGGTCCATAAAAGCCCCGGACTCAGCCAGAGCAGGGCAGAGGATGGAGAGACCATGGGACTACCAGCTGCAGAGAGGAGCCACCCACTCCAGGCCTCCTCTCTGCTGGGAGCTAAACACTCCATGGGACAACCTGCCTACAGAGAGGAGCTGCCCACTGCAGGTCTCCTTTGAGCTGTTCTAACACTCAATAAAGTTCCTCTTCCTCTTGCTCACCCTCCACTTGTCTGCATACCTTATTATTCCTGGACACAGGATAAGAACTCAGGCAAAGGCATCACCAGCCACAGAGGTTTCTGGCCAGAAAAGTGACAACCCAAAGATCTCTTTTTTTTGAGACGGAGTTTCACTCTTGTTACCCAGGCTGGAGTGCAATGGCACAATCTCAGCTCACTGCAACCTCCGCCTCCTGGGTTCAGGCAATTCTCCTGCCTCAGCCTCCCGAGTAGCTGGGATTACAGGCACGTGCCACCATGCCCAACTAATTTTTTGTATTTTTAATAGAGATGGGGTTTCACCATGTTGACCAGGATGGTCTCGATCTCTTGACCTCATGATCCACCCGCCTCAGACTCCCAAAGTGCTGGGATTACAGGCTTGAGCCACCGCGCCCGGCAACCCAAAGATCTCATAACACATGTTTTCACTCCTAAGCAGAAACTAAAAAAATTGGTCTCATGTAGAGAGTTGATTGATGGTTACCAGAAACTGGGAAGAGTAGTGGGGAGGAGGGGAAGAAGATGAGTCAGTTAATGAGTGCAAAAACATTGTTAAAGTAGAAGGAATAAGATCTAGTTTTCTTTCTTTCTTTTCTTTCTTTTTTTTTTTTTTTTTGAGACGGAGTTTCGCTTTTGTTACCTAGGCTGGAGTGCAATGGCACGATATCAGCTCACCGCAACCTCTGCCTCCTGGGTTCAGGCAATTCTCCTGCCTCAGCCTCCTGAGTAGCTGGGATTGCAGGCACGCGCCACCATGCCCAGCTAATTTTTTGTATTTTTAGTAGAGACGGGGTTTCACCATGTTGACCAGGATGGTCTCAATCTCTTGACCTCGTGATCCACCCGCCTCAGCCTCTCAAAGTGCTGGGATTACAGGCTTGAGCCACCATGCCGGCTTAGATCTAACTTTCAATAGCCCAATGAGGTGACTATAATAAACAATAACTAATCATATATTTCAAGATAGCTAGAAAAGAAGATTTGAAATATTGCCGACACAAATAAATTATAAATATTTGAGATTGTCAGTATCTCAATTACCCAGATGTAATCATCATACATTGCATGCATGTACGTATACCTTGGCTCCAAAATAACAGAAAGAAAAAAGAAGGCTGGGGCCATAGCTCATGCCTGTAATGCTAGTAATTTGGGAAGCCAAGTCAGGTGAATTGCTTGAGACCAGGAGTTCAAGACCACACTGGGCAACATGGTGAAACGCTGTCTCTACAAAAACTACAAAAGTTAACCAGGCATGCTGGCACATGCCTATAGTCCCACTATTTGGGAGGCTGAGATGGGAGGATCAGTTGAGCCCAGGATGTCCAGCTGCAGTGAGAGGTGTTTGCACTACCGCACTCCAGTCTTGGTAACAGAGCAAGACCCTGTCTAAATTTTTTTTTTTTTTTTTTTTTTTTTGAGACGGAGTTTCGCTCTTGTTACCCAGGCTGGAGTGCAATGGCGCGATCTCAGCTTACCGCAACCTCCGCCCCCTGGGTTCAGGCAATTCTCCTGCCTCAGCCTCCTGAGTAGCCGGGATTACAGGCACGTGCCACCATGCCCAGCTAATTTTTTGTATTTTTAGTAGAGACGGGGTTTCACCATGTTGGCCAGGATGATCTCGATCTCTTGACCTCGTGATCCACCCGCCTCGGCCTCCCAAAGTGCTGGGATTACAGGCGTGAGCCACCGCGCCCGGCCTTAAATTTTTTTTTTTAAAGGTCAGGCATGATGGCTCACGCCTGTAATCCCAGCACTCTGGGAGGCCAAGGCAGGTGGATCACAAAGTCAAGAGATCGAGATCATCCTGGCCAACATGGTGAAACCCCATCTGTGCTAAAAATACAAAAATTAGCTGGGTGTGGTGGCGCGCACCTGTAATCCCAGCTACTCGGAATGCTGAGGCATTAGAATCACTTCAACTTGGGAGGTGGAGGTTGCAGTGAGCCAAGATCCCACCTGGTGACAGAGTGAAACTCCATCTCCAAAAAAAAAAAAAAAAAAAAAGCTTCACTAAAGCTTCATATTTCTTTGCTTTTATGAGACATGCCCACATATAGATAGCACAGAATCTTGTACATTTTGTGGACAGATATTCACACTTGTCACACACACATGGTCCCTTTTTGGATCATGCCAATTCCTTCAAGCAGTTCATCCCTAGAAGCAGGTAAACAAGGACATCATCACCTCATGGACAGGTTTTAAATTGTAACTGTAAATATTCACATTGCCAGGCAGAGTTAATCCTAGTAGATTCTGGATATGGAGTATGCCAGGTGTTTTTGTTTTCGAGACGAGGTCTCACTCTGTCACCCAGGCTGGAGTGCAGTGGCATGATCATAGCTTACTGCAGCCTCAACTTTCCAGGTTCTCAGGTTCCAGCAATCCTCCCACCTCAGCCTGCCAAGTAGCTAGGACCACAGGGGTACACCACCATACCTAGTTTCAGTATTTTTGATAGAGATAGGGTTTTGCCATGTTTCCCAGGCTGGTCTCGAACTCCTGAGCACAGGTGATCTGCCCGCCTTGGCTTCCCAAAATGCTGGGATTGTAGGCGTGAGCCACCATGCTCAGTCTGAAGTGTGCCAATTCTGATTAAGGGTGAAAATAAAGTGGAATATCTTTTCCCAACTCACCAGCATTTCCAAAACAAAAAGAAAACATTTGAGGAACAGCGAATACTGGGACTCATCAGTACAAGAAGGTTTGTTTTCCTTAAGAGTGAGGATCGCCGGGTGCGGTGGCTCAGGCCTGTAATCCCAGCACTTTGGGAGGCCGAGGCGGGTGGATCACGAGGTCAAGAGATTGAGACCATCCTGGTCAACATGGTGAAACCCCGTCTCTACTAAAAATACAAAAAATTAGCTGGGCATGGTGGCGCGTGCCTGTAATCCCAGCTACTCAGGAGGCTGAGGCAGGAGAATTGCCTGAACCCAGGAGGCAGAGGTTGCGGTGAGCCGAGATCGTGCCATTGTACTCCAGCCTGGGTAACAAGAGCGAAACTCCATCTCAAGAAAAAAAAAAAAAAGAAGTGAGGATCACCACTTCAAACTTAATACAAAGAGCTTGTGCTTTTCCTACATTCACAAATATAACAGCCCCTCACCTAAAAAAAAATAAATAAATAACAGCCCACCACTGCATTTAGATGTACACACATAGGCTGGTCCGAAGGTAGTGAGTTATCTCAATTGATTGTTCAGAGTCAGTAACAGATTGAACTCCTTGTTCTACTCTTTCCCTCCTCACTACTGCACTTGACTAGTCTTAAAAAAAAAGAAAGATGTACACACATAAACAACATGTGTGCAGGTACACTTATACATATGATATACAGGTGGTGCAAATAACTTTTAAAACTATACTTATTTATTTATACATTTTTATTTTTATAGAGACAGGGTCTCTCTGTTGCCCAGGCTGGTCTTGAACTCGGGTATAAGTGATACTCCTGCCTCATCCTCCCAAAGTGTTGGGATTACAGGCGTGAGCCACCTCACTCAGTCTTAACTTTTTTTTTTTTTTTTTTTTTTTTTGAGACAAAGCTTCGCTCTTATTGCCCAGGCTGGAGTGCAGTGGCATTATCTTGGCTCACTGCAATCTCCACCTCCTGGGTTCAAGCAATTCTCCTGCCTCAGCCTCCCAAGTAGCTGGGATTACAGGCGCCCGCCACCATACCTGGCTAATTTTTTGTATTTTAGTAGAGATGGGGTTTGGCCATGTTGGGCAGGCTGGTCTTGAACGCTTGACCTCAGGCGATCTACCTGCCTCGGCCTCCCAAAATGCTGGGATTAGAGGCATGAGCCAACATGCCAGGCCAACTATTTTTATATAATTACAAATTTAAAGCTGGGCTTCATGGCTCATGTCTATAATCCCAGCACTTTGGGAGGCCTGGGTGGGAGGATCACTTGAGCCCA